TCGTAGAGAAATAAAAGTGTTTGTTATCATCAAAATCATAACCCAGAAAACAGATCCGCAACAAGAGGTGTAGAAAAATAAGAGCAAGGAGGCTTTTAAAATATTAAACAACTTTCAATAATTATTTAGATGTCATAAAACATTAAACTCTTATGTAAAAATATACCATTGCAAGATAACTTTGAATAGTCATATTATCTAAATTAAAACAAAGATAATATAAATAAATAGATTAAAAAATAAATCTTTAAATATTATAAAATACTAGAAATAATCTAAAAGTATTATCTTTTGCTATATCAATATCACTTGTTGAGTTATAGCACAACACTTAGGATCTATTTGGAATACTTATATATATTTATAAAAATGGTTGTTGAAATAATTTTTTTAAAATGCTGCTATAAATAATATAGATTTTTTTTTTCATTTAAAAACAATTTGAACATGTTTCTTACATTTGTCACACTATAACATATTTTGTAGTTTAGAACTAATCACACTAGATTTTCTAAAAAAACAACAAGCAAGTTATAGCCAAAAGGCAATTTGGTAGGGTCTAAAAAGCATAGCCTAAAAAAAAAAGTTCCAAAAATCACCCTAAATTAAGGGAGTAGGGTATGAACACCATATTTAGAGTTTCAAACTTTGTAAATGATTCAAATTCAAACCACATAATACAATCAAGCATAGTGGTACAAAATCTAAAAGTTCAAAAAGATAAGCTATGTATATTAGGAGATATTTTATTAAATTTAAGGCTAGAATAATTTTAAGCACTAGTATGATAATCCACTCTACCATTATAATACAAAAACATATAACCATAAAAATCATTGAATAAATATAAAAGTGAAATACTCTACATATCCACTTAAGATAATTCATAGTGATTAAGTGGTATTATTTTACATGTAAAAGTAAAAGAATTTTAATCGCATGTATGATGATCTACTTAACACTATCGTTGTCAAGTCCTGTCCTATATGAGAAAAGTGGAGGGTTGCATTAGGTACTCAACAGCCAGCGTAAAACTTATCGAATAATCATGACATGATTCATTATATACATTTATTAATGCTAAAGTGTTCCTTGGAAGTGACGCATTGTATGGCCTGACTACAACGACAAGTGAGCAAGGGCTACTGCACCGACGCCTAAGTGCAGTGTTAAATAGGCAAGGATTCCCACATCATGGACATATGTGGGAAAATAAGTTAGTCTATGAAACTAAAATTAGGATATGAACTTGAAATATAGGTTTTCTTATAGACAAATTACTAAAATTAATATATATTATGATTCATAGGAAGATAAATATTCTACGCATTCAAGAAACTAAATAGATTGGAGAGAAAGCTAAGCATATTGATAGTTTAGGATTTAAACTATCATTTTCTAGTAGGAGTCATACTAGAAATGATGTATGTGTGATTATAAATAAGAGTTTGAAGGATAATGTTGTAAAAATTAATAGAATTATAAACTCAATTATAGCTTTAAAGATTATTATTGATGCTAAAATTTTTAATATTATAAGTGCTTATGCTCCTTAATAAGTTGATAGTGAGGTAGATAATTTTAAAAGCATTCATGGTGGCTATGGCTTTGGAGCGAATAATGAAGGTAGCAAGACCATATTAGATTTTTTTACCTTATGATTTTGTAATTGCTAATATATTATTTAAAAAAAGAGATGAGCATCTCATTACTTATAGGAATGGATAGAGTAAAACTTAGAATGATATTTTCTTATAAGAATAATAGATCATTTATATTACAAAAATTATAAAGTTATTCCGAGTGAAAATTTATGTACCAACATCGTCTGTTAGTTTTGGACTCTAAGATGAAGATATAGAAAATAAAAATAAAATAAATCATTGTTCTAAGATTAGATTGAGGTATTTAAAGAATATTAATAAAAATATTTTTTAGAGTAAGATTTTAGATCTTAAGATTTTGTCTGTGCATGAGGAACCTCATGTTATGTTGGAAAAAATAGCTAATGATATTAAAAATATTGTAAAAGATGTGTTTGAAGTATCAAATGAAAAAAAACTACTAATAGTATAAGTAGTTGATGGTGAAACTAAAATGTGCAAAAAAAGACAAAAAAATAAGAATTGTTACAAAAATTAGTTTAGCTATAAAAATTTTGATGATTTGGAAAGATATAAAGAGGCCCATAAGGAGTCTAAGAAAACAATTTACAATGCAAAGATTTTAACTTTTAATGATTTATATAATAGATTAGATAATAAGGAGGGCGAAAGACTTATGTATAAGTTAGCTAAATGAAAAGATAGGAATAGTAAGAATTTAGTTCAAGTGAAGTGTATTAAGGATAAAGATAAAAAAGTACTTTATTAAAAGTGGATATTCAATAATGATGGATGAGATATTTTGCTAAACTTTTCAATGAAGGTTATGAGAATGTGATTGACTTTAGTGACCTTAGCACCCTAAATAAAAATAAATATTTGTATTTTTATCGATGTATTAGTAAAATCAAAGTTAAAGAGGCTTTAAAGAAAATGAAGTGTGGAAAAAATGTTGGACCTAATGATATTCCAATAAAGATGTGGAAATGCTTAAGAGATGATGGAATTTCTTGAATTACTAAACTTTTTAATATTATTTTGAAGGTTAAAAAGATGTCAGATGAGTGGAAAATGACTGTGTTGATTCTTATTTTTAAGTTAATGTGTCACACTTTAAAACTTTGGGAGAGAGTTATGGAGCATAGGTTATGGTATGCACTAATGTATCTCAAAATCAATTTGGATTCATGTCAAGTAGGTCTACTATAGAAGCTATACATTTATTGAGAGGTTTAATGGAGAATAATAGAGAGAATAAGGAGGATCTATATATGATTTTTATTGATTTAGAGAAAACATATGATAAAGTTCCAAGAGAAGTGTTATGGAGAGTTCTATATAAGAAAGGGGTTAATAATGCTTATAATCAAACTATAAGGATATGTAAGCAGGAGCTGTTACTTGTGTTCAAACACAAGGTGGTTTGACCAAGTATTTTCCTATTTCAATTAGATTACATCAAGAATCAACCTTAAGCCAATATCTTTTTGCTTTAGTCATGGATTACAACAAGAGGTTGTACCATGGTGTATGCTTTTTGTTGATGATATTCTTCTTGTTGGTGAGACTAGAGAGAGAGAGTTAAAGTTAAACTTGAATTATGGAGGTCAACATTAGAGTCTAAAGACTTTCGTTTGAGTAGATCTAAAACTGAATATATGTAGTGTAATTTTAATAATAATAGATCTAGTTGGGGGACTGTAACTTTGGGCGATCAAGTCATTAATAAGAGTATACGTTTTTGATATCTTAGATCTATTATTCAAAGTAATGGTGAAATAGATAGGGACATTATTAGTAGAATTCAAGTTGGATGGTTGAAGTAGAGGAATGCATCAGGCTTGTTGTGTGGAAGAAAATTTCCTCTCAAACTTAAAGGGAAAATTCTATAAGATGATGATTAAACCTGCAGTGCTTTATGATGCAGAATGTTGGCCATTAAAACAGAAGTATAATATTAAATTAAGTGTTGCAGAGATGAGGATGCTCAGGTAGATGAGTGACTTTACTCTTAGAGACAAGATACAATGAGCATATATGTCAAAATGTTGGAGTAACTCTAATGGAAGATAAAGATTAGAAAGAGTCACCTTAGGTGATTTGGTTACATAAAATTGTGGCCTGATGTTGACCTAGTTAGGAAATTAGATGTATTAGATTTGACTTATGTTAAAAAAGATAAGAGGTAGGCCTAAAAAAGACTTGAGTTAAAAATATTAGAAATGATTTTTTTTTTATTGAATTTAGATGAGGATTTGACTCTTAACAAGACACAATGCAAAAAAAAATGATTCATATAGCCGACCGGACATAGTGGGATAAAAGCTTGTTTTTGTTGTTGTCATTATTGCTATATGATGATCTACTTAACCATAATAATGCATAAATATGTAATTACACAAATCATTTAATAAAAATAAAAGTAGTATTTTAAATACAAGTAAAATAGCAAGAGTGCATAAATCAACCTTGATGTAGTTCAACACCAACATCCTACAACCACATTACAAATACACCTTGAAAAATCCATCATCCCTTCTTCACATATAGATGAACAGAAGAACCTGCTTACAATCGCTACTTTCCTCTAAATCCTGCAAGTAACACCACTCCCTCTTACTGTTAAAGCACTAAGAGAGCCCACTACAGTACTTTTATAGGCTAGGATAACCCACTCATTAGTTATTCAAGAGGGAAAGAATCTAAAATACCATAATGTTCTTGCGAATGTATAAAGCTGATAGACCCAAAAAAAGGACTAAACTCTTACAAGATTATTTAGAAACAAAATAGGACTAGAGCAACAGACTAAGATTTCATTTGGAACTATTTTCTTACTGCTTTTTAAAATAACTTTTTAATACAAAAATTTTAATTTTTAAACTAAAAAGCTACTTTAAGAAGCAGAAAAATAACCATCCCAAACAAAGCCTAAGACTTCATTTGAGGCAGCTTCATTACTATTTTCTAAAGCATCCTTCTAGTACAACAGCTTTCCTACTGCTTCCTAAAACAATTTTCTAATATAAAATTTTCTAATTCAAAAAATTTTTATACTAAAACGCTATTTTAGAAAACAACAAAAAAAATTAATTCAAACAAAACCTAAGACTTAGAATGCTTTCGTAATAACTATCAAAAGTCGTTCATGATTATCTACTATATTAATTGACCAATCAAATACTTACATGACACAAATAAAATTTAAAAATATAATAATATAATTAGGCTATATATATGTTCTTTTGTTAAACACAATAATCTTACAAATTTATGTTGTAGATCACTACCACCAATGTGATATTAAATTTAAAAAACTATATAAAATAATATTTGCGAAAATAAAAATAAGATTTACGCAGGCATAATTAACTAACAAGATGATGAGACAGTTAAAAAAAAACAAATGGTTTGTTTTGCTGGTCAAGTTTTTCCAACTTTGTCAGTAAAAACAAAAGAACCAAAATCAAAAACTAAAACGAAATTCTGATGTAAATTCAAGCTGCATCTGTTTATGAGCTACTTGAAATTAAGAGTTTCGAATTTCAGGCATTATGAGCTACTTGAAATTTGAGAGGAAGGAAGAGAGTACTTTTCAATCAATTTGGTAAGCTCAGCTTCAAAGTTGTTTCCTAATTCAATCTCCTCTGTCAAATGCTTTTGCTTCAGCTCAATCTTCTTTTCTTCATGAGATAGTATCAGTTTTGCCCTCTCAGCTTCAAACTCCTCAACACCTTTTAACTGGCTGGGAATGAACTTTTGCATCTCCTCTTCCCTGCTGTAAATCAAAAGGTAATACAGTAAATTAGCTGGTAAAAAGATCCATAGACAACTCATACTTCAATGATTAAAAAAGATTTATAATGGGATATCTGCCATGATCAAAAAGCCAAAAGACAGATGCATGGCAAAAGAGTGCCACACTCTTGGATATGAAGTCTCTTTTTTTTTGTATGATTTTATTTTGGCTTATTTTCAATCAAATAACATCCACTTCCAAATCAAATAATAATAAATCTTACTAAACTATAAAAAAAAATAGGAGGATGCCAGGCTTTTTAAAATTTTAAGATGATTTGATATGCACAAAGCAGAAAATATGGCGCATAATGAGTGCATTAATAATAAATATATCATTAGTATCAAACACTACAGTAAACAAAAAAAAAAGCATCTACAATAACATATATAGACCAATTCTAATGCTTTGGATTGATAATAATAATAATAATAATAGTGTCATTAGTAAAGAGCATTGCAAACCCTCTATTTTTTCGGGAAATTATTATGTACGGAGTCCAGACGGGAAGAACCGTCTAGATTGTTGCGTATTGAGTATTTGTAAATACGCAACAAATCAGCAAATATTCAACAAATACTTACAAAATACACAGCGAATACTCAGCAAATACTCAACTTGTAAGTATTACTGAGTATTTGTTGAGTATTTACAAAAAGGTAGCAAATACTCAGTAAATACACAGCAAATCCGGACGGTTATCTCCATTCGGACTCCGCGCGTAATAATTTCTCCTATTTTTCACCATACTTTACCAATGGTCAAATTCATAAAAACAATCCAAATTAGAACATGTTCTCAGGTTGTGGAACAATGATTTTAACCATATAACTAAAACTCTAAAAGTAATAACACAACATAGCCCAACACATAAGAAGACAGAAATGACAAATAGAACCAAATTTACATTCCCATTTGCCACTATATTACGTTCTTTAATTTTTCTTAATATCACATGTTTCTCTTTGGCCATATGCTTTAATCCATACATGCTTTGACTTTCTGAAAAACAAGAAATTTACTAATAATGTCGCTGGTTTAACTATCGCGGAGTCACCCTCGTCCACAAATTTTTTTAGCTGCCCATTTCTATTTTTTTTCCATGCAACGCGAAGGGAAAAATACAGGAAGAAAGCTTATAAGAAATTGAAGTAAATCAACAGTGATGTCCAATGAGATTTTCGCAAAAGAAAAACAATGAAGAAATGGATGGCTAATAAATGATTGTGGTAGATGGTGATTGAAGTTATCCTTAATAACACTGGGTGGTTAAAATTTGATGAACAATATGACTGAATAGGAAAAAAGTCCGATCCAATCAATAAGATCAGACAACACACATTTTTGTGTCTACCATTTTATATGACCTTCAAGCACAAAAACATAATTTATTTTCATATAGAACATGAAAATTACTTGCATGTCAAATTTCATTAAGTTTCATAATATTTTAATCATTCATCAAAAAAAAAAAAAAAGTAGATGTCAAATAAAATTATAATTTCACCCATATATTTTATCAATCAAAATCATAAAATAAAATTTAAATATCATCAATGACCCATGTCTAGAGCATTTGTAAGACTCAGAATATAAAAGATCACAATGATCTTCTAAAGAAATTGGAGCAATCAAACTATTGAGTAAATGTTTATATTCATGCAAAAGATAATCGAACTATTTAAAAGATCCCGATGTCATGTTTGTGACTGGTTTTAATGATATGAAAGATAATGGAGCATTTTAATCTCACATACAAAGATCATAACATCAGAACATAAGAGAAAAATTAATCCACACGAAGTACAGAGAAGGCATATCACCATAATTGTCCTCTGGAGAAAAATCAATCCGCCACCCACAGTAAAGAAACGAGTATAGTACGCTAACTGGCCCAGAATTATCATTATACTTTTGTACAAGACCCATCAGGATGACTCTCCTCCAATAAGGATTAAAATCCAGAGTATATAACCACAAAAATACTCTGGCCATTGTTCGAACAAAATAATAACAGGTGAATCTTAAAATTAGATTATCCAGAGACTGCTTGTTCTAAAGGCTACAGTAGTTCATGATCGGTTTGTTTCGAGAATTGTGCCATGATAGAATTTGCATTACAGAGAGAAAAGAATAGAATAACGCGGTCTCTGTTCATTGTGTAAAATATTGGCACTTAGTGCCTATTTTATTTGCAAGGAAATTCCAATAGGAATTGTAGGAGGTAGAGCACATTTCATTAAACATTTACAGTATGAATTGGGGATAAAGATAATCACAAAATGAGATATGATAACGTAATAATTTTTTGTCCATTTGAGGGTAAAAATAGCGAATCAACCAATTGAACAAGAAAGTCAGCTCTGGTGATTCGTGAAGGATTCACTATAGTTATTAGTTATTACTTAATTCACTTAGAGCCTCACCCGAACAAAGTATTTGAGAAGGCAGGTCGAATGAGGTAAAGATCCCCAATTAAGTTAAACTTACTAATAAACCAAACTTGCGATCACACCATTATACTGGTAAAAGTTTGGGATTACCTTTGCCTGCAGTCTACAATGGTTCCAGAGTTGCTGACATCATACAAATTGACCTTTGCTCGCTCCTGTGACAAATTCTTAGATGTCTTTTCCTTATCTTCTGTTATTTTATGTATTTTGTCCATTTGATCCTTGACAAATTTCTCTTGAAAATCCATCTAGAATAACAGTAAGGAGAAGCATTGATATCAAAACATTAATGGAATGCAAAATACAGCCAACAGGCAACTGAGCACAAAAATAAAGATAAAAGTAAAAAAATAGAATAAAATAAAGTACTCTTAAGGAAATCAGGTTCTAAAAAAGAACTGACCAAAATTTCCTCGACATTATTTTCACATGGTATGCATAGTTACCAAGGGGCTATCTGATTTACTGAAAAAAGAATACAATGTAGAAGAAATGTAGCATATTGAAATGTTTAAGTTGTTTGGAATTGTGTAAAAAGAATGCAAGAGATTTTTTTTTTTTATAATTTGGCTTGAATTAAAATAAATGTAATATAAAGGCAAATGAAGATAGTGACCAACAATGATAGTGATGATGGCCTCCAACAAATGGGGACAAGCATTGGTCTGTGGCGGTAGTAGGCAATAGGGATCGATGTGGTGGAGGCGGTGGTGACAACGGTGGTCGTCGGCAACCGCACCAACCGGCAATAATTCATTTACGGTGGAGGGTGTTCCCTCGATGGGTAGCAACAATGAATTCAGCTTGCGGTGAAAAAGGAATTCAGCGAAATCTGTGAGAGTTTACAATGCAAATAAAATTGAACTAGGGAGTGAGAAGGATTCACTAAAATTTTACAATGCATACCTTTTTCAACAACCAAATACCCAAAATTAGTTTCCCCTACACTTGGAATACTTTGCATTCCTTTTTTAGCAAATCAAACACCCAAGTCTTTTGTGACCATGACAACACAATACTCTATCCAATTTGTTGCTACATAAGAAGCACATGGTGTGACAAATAAAAATAAATAAACCGTTCAAATGTAGAATTCCCCTTTGGCTCTTTCTAAAAAATGACTTCGAATACTAAGAAGTTGAAGACAAAATCCTGGGCAGTCCGGTTTTCCTCCCCCTTTCTGCTCACAAAAATAACTTATCAAAAGAAAAATTTAGAATGCAAATTTTACCTCTTCTTTATTTTCTTCATGTTGAATCTTTGTTCTGAGCCTCACAATCCGGTTTTCTTCCACTGTATCACGCAATTTCTGGCTCAACATGTCAAATGACACCTCAAGAGCCTTTGAGCGCTGCTCTTGTTTTACAACTTTGTTCTTAAGCCAAATCAGCTTCTGGTTATCTTCACTCATCTGCTTCATTGGGTTCACAACCATTTCTCGGTAAGATCTCATGTCAAACTTCAGGCATGCTTTCCCTGCATATTTTATAAAATCAAAGTCACAAAATATAATCAAACAAAATCCTTGCCTGCCATGTTTTTTAGAGTTAACTGAAATTTACTAGTCAACCAACAATGTCCTAACTCGCATTTGGTAAGTTAAAGAAGATCAAAATAACTAATTTTACTGGTAGGGATGCAACGTCACATAAAAGGTTAACAACATTGTTTCTTCAACTCAAATTTGTTAAGAAAAAAAAAATCATTTTATTCCAGCATATGTGCCGAATCAACAACCATCCATATTGAAATGGGGTTAGTTATTCAAGCAAACCTTGTTCTATTCAGACGCGCCCCAATAAGTATTCCACACCATCATACTCGCCCATAGACAAATCAGCAACCTCACCTCACCCTCCGTCTACTATGATGTGCAACGTTGCATATGTGATCTATATAGCTTTGTATTTTTAACTCTTTCTTTGTATAGTCTTTCTTGTAACCCTTAGAATCCTACAAATATGAGGTGATCAAGAACAATATGGGAGATTTTTCAAACTCTTGACTAATATAGTGGAAACTCGGCCAGTTTGAGACCTCAAGTTCTTTTTGAGTATTTTTCTAGATTATCTCTCTTTAACTCTTCTCTCTACTCTCCATTCTCACACGGATTCTCGCCAGTTCACCTAGTTGGAATGCAAATGAAGTCGGGTGTCATCTACGGATAAATTTAGATCTAACATCCTCAAAGGTACGGTGAGCGTGGATTGATGTGAATGACAAGAAAACAAACAAGTGCCCTCATAAATAGTGAAGACCTAAGAGGTCTTTTCAAGAAATATTTCATAATATTACACTGGTGAATGCCTTAGTATATGCACATCGATACATAGTATGGGCAAGTGCCCTCACATAATACTACTTTCCTAGAGCGAAGAGTCAATACACTAGGAAGTACAATAATTAAGTTGAGTCCATAATGTAGCCTAATCCATACACTAGCAAGTTATAAACTAGACAAATTTTGAAAATTCTCATGTAGGCAAAGGCCCTCATACATATGGACCTTTGTCGAGCTCAACACTTATGTTAGCAAATAAAGAGCAATACAAGATGAGTAAAAACAAAACTTTATTTCATATTTTTACAAAAATACATGTGCAACCACCCCTTCGGGTCAAAATAAAAAGAAAAACACAGACAAAAATTACAAAATGAGCAACTGAGACTCAATCAATAGTCCCACTCACGACATTGCTATGCTCTCCTACCAATAACTCTTGGAAGAAAGTTGATAGATTTAAAAAATCTAGGGCAATTGCACCCCATAAAGTGTGCTTCCTTGGACAGCATTTGATACCATCTCTATAATCAAGAATCAACAAAATATTGAATGAGATGTCCCAATTTGGCTTGAAAAATCTAAACTAGGATAGAACCACCAACCAATTCTCATGTCATTCATTTAAGAGATGACAACACAAATGTTACTGTTGAAGAGATGACAAATAAGAGAAAAATATTTTCGAAAATAGTTGCTCTGAATTCATGGACTTTGAAGGCGCTAATGCACTAAAAGGTGATTCCTCCTTTGAAACTCTTTTGGAATTTAAGAACCATATTCAAATTAACATCAAGATTTGAAAAGCAAATACTATTTTTTTCCCAGAGATATCCCCAAGATATATGTTTAAATACATTTATGGGATACAAGTTCCCATAAGTGTACAACAACAACAACAACAACATCAAGCCTTTATCCCACTACGTGGGGTCGGCTACATGAATCCTTTTTCTCCATTGTGTCATATTAAAAGTCAAATTCTAGTTTAAATCTAATAAAGAAAGGTCATTCCTAATATTTTTAACCAAGTCTTTTTAGGTCTACCCCTACCTTTCTTAACATAAGTCAAATCTAATACCTCTACTCTCCTAACCGGGTCATCGGAAGGTCGCCTTTTTTATGTGACCAAACCATCTAAGTTGACTCTCTCTAATCTTATCTTCTACTGGAGCTACTCAAACCTTTTCACATATATGCTCAATTCGTATCCTATCTTTAAGGGTAAAGCCACTCATCCACCTGAGCATCCTCATCTCTGCCACACTTAACTTAGTATTATGCTTCTCTTTTAATGGCCAACATTCGGCACCATAAAGCATTGCAGGCCCTCACTACCGTCTTATAGAATTTTCCCTTAAGTTTGAGGGGTACATTTCTATCACATAACAAGCCCGATGCATTCCTCCACTTCAACCATCCAACTTGAATTCTGCTGATAATATCCCCATCTATTTCACCATCACTCTGAACAATATATCCAAGATATCTAAAACGTGTACTCTTATTAATGACTTGATCGCCCAAAGTCACAATCCCCTCACTAGGTCTACTACTATAAAATTACACTCCATATATTATGTTTTAGATCTACTCAAGCGAAAACCTTTAGACTCTAAGTTTGACCTCCATAATTCAAGTTTACCTTCAACTCCCTCTCTAGTCTTATCAACAAGAAGAATATCATCAGCAAAAAGCATACACCAAGGTACATCCTCTTGCAAATGTCTAGTGAGAACATCCATGGCTAAAGCAAAAAGATATGGGCTTAAGGCTGATCCTTGATGTAACACAACCGAAATAGGGATACTTGGTCAAACCACCTTGTGTTTGAACACAAGTAATAGCTCCTGCATACATATCTTTAATGATTTGAATATAAGCATTATTGACTCATTTCTTTTCAAGAACTCTCCATCGCCTTTTCTGTATCACAAGTTCCCATAAGTGTAAGCACGCATAATTAATTACATCTCAGGTGAGATACTTGATAATACTCTCATTTAAAGATATTTATTATGCTTTGAATTGGTGGTTGAACTTTGGATTTATAATGGTAAAGCTTGGATGATGATGGGTGATCAACCCGATCAAGATCCTTGAGTATAATCTCACAAACAAAACATTAAGTGTAATTTGTGGGAGGGTTAATCAACGCTGAAAAGGTGTATGAGGAGATTTTTTGGAAATTATTTTAATCTATTGATGGTAATAGATAGAGCAATATTATTTAGCCATTAAACTTGGAATCATATATTGTTGAACTCTTGAGATTAGTTTTAATTTTGTTTTGTTGAAGGCTTTGGGATTCTTTGCTTGGCTCTCAAAACCTAGACAAAACTAACTAATGGAATTGAAAAACCCCGTCCTGATGAAAAATGTTCTAAAACCAAACTCCCAAAGCTTTTTACGCATCAAACGATACTGCCAATATAATAGAATATTTCTAAATTTCACTTTTAGGCTGCTACACATCTAATCGAATGAATGAAACCAAATAATGCTCTCTGAAGAAGAAAAAGGTGGGGGGCAAAGAAAACCTTATAACTTGGCACCATCATTTCACTTATCCAGTACCTAACGACCAACAATAATCATGAAAAGTTCTGTATCACCAAAGATTATACACAAAAATGTCTGTTATTTATGAAAATATAAATCATCCCCATAATAACAAAGCAAAAAGATGGAAAATACTAATTTAGAATACAAGAGAGTGAAGTTACCCTTTGCATTCAGTTGTTATTGCTAAAGGGAACGAGACGTTCAAAGTGGTTCTATTATTTTACAGATTCAACTTCCATAAAAACATGTCCACCATTCATTCAGAAATGAGTTTAAATTGACATATGCAAAGATAACGACATTTTTTGTTGTTTTAATTTTCAACAAAACTTGGCAAAAACAACTTACTGCCTATCAAACCAAACATACCATGAGAATGTTGGTTGAAGATGATCAGATCTTCTTTGGATGCCAAGAAACCATATAGCTGACGCTTACCCCCTGGATAGAACAGTGTAGGGCGCTTTTCCCAAGCATCCCGATCTCTTCCCTCACCTCTAAATTGCCTGTGCAATCGTTCAGCTTCGAAATATCCCAATGCAGAGGATTCAAAGATTAGAACACTCATGCCTCGATGCCCATTTGGACCATAGGAATGACGAGCTTTTACTGCTTCATAAGTATTAAAATATTCAAGAAGCTCTTGATTACCCATGCCTTTCCACTGCAATTTATGTTAAAATAAGGATCTACTTAATATAACAGTGGTGAAGCTAGCTAAATTGCTGGAGAAAAAAAAATAACGATGCTTTCATAATATACAGCTAAACCACATTGAGAAAATTAATATTTGTGTGATAAAAAAAAAATCTATGTATTCCGAGAAAGTATAGTCAAAATAAATAAATGGCATACAAAATGTAAGATCACCAATACAATGATATTGTCATCTGCTACTAGACAGTAACAGGTACTAGTGATGCAATTATAGAACACATTGGTTTGGTAATGAATGTTGCAAGAGAGTTTAGCAATCTCAGTAATTATGTGGAAGATTTTGTCAGGTATCAAGTACTTGCAAAAAAATTCAATCCAATACGAAGTAAAAACATGGTATAAACAAGACTGCAATTTCCCAACATTTACTTTCCTCTGCAGGCTTCCACTTGCTTGGATAAAGCAAACTCTCTCAATTACTAATGTTCAGCCATATCAGAGCTAATATGCCTTGTGCCTTATACAAACTGCCAGGCCTCACCAAGAACCACTTGGGTTGAGTCATGAGAAGTTCTACCGAAAATATGAAGAGCATAGCATAGCTTTGTTCAAACCATCAACAACCAACCACTGTCGGAGCACTAGGATGATAACCCACCTTTGTGATGGTTTCAACCCTTTATTTGCGCCCCCCCCCCCCCCCCCCCCCCCCCCCCCCAGGAGAGATCCATAGTTAGGTTGTTTGGTACTTGCTGCAAGCATGTTGGAAAGCTAGAGCGAACATTACTCTCCCCTCTTTCTTTTTTTAATTTTGTTGAGAGAGAACTCATATGGGAGGCTCCATACTTGCTTGTACCCTTTGTACATTTTTTATGCTTTTATATTAACGCACCATGCAACTTTAAAAAATAAAAAAAAAAGCAAACAACCGGGTAAGAGTTCATCTCAGTTCAATCTGAGTGGAATTACCAACTACAAAGCATATCTTGCAAAGGCTAATAATATAGTCTAACTTTTCAGCCTTTGTTGAGATAAGATTTGTATGTGGTAATTCCGCTCTAAAAGATCAAAATTATAAATCATAATATGCAGCCTAACATCAATACAACATAATTTCAAGCAATTATTAATGATTAACCTACTTAAACAAGAAAATTAAATGCATTATTAACTATGATGCACCGACAAACCTCTTGAAGATATAATGCAATGTCGGACATGTGTCGGACACGAGCACGTGCCCGACACGGTTGTGACACGTGTCGGACACGGCAGACACGTGTCCGATTAAAATAATTTTTAAATTTAACCGTACACGGCTGTGTCGAACAAGGCTAGGACACACATGTCCTAGTTTTTTATGATAAAATTATTTTAAATTATAAATTTTTTATATTTACTAAATCAAATAAAACATCACATTCGCTCGTATATGCATCAATACGATTATTGAAAGGCATGATTATTAGAGAAAGAATCTTTTTTTTTTTGAGAGACAATAATGATTATTGAAAACATTTATGCCTATCTGTGTTTGTAATTTTTAGTGACGTGGAATAAGAAGAATTTTGATTTGTCTAGAAGATCTTTATGTGCATGCCTTATTTAATTCTAGTTGATGGGATTTGTTGAAATAGGTGAAAAATTTGAATGATATAGAAAATATTTAGAATATAAAAGATTTAAGATTAATAGAATAAAGATTAGTATATGATATCCGATGAATGATTATGGGAGAGAACTAGAGAAGTATAGAAGTAAATAGATATATTCTTTGTGATTTAGATTAGAGGTTAAAAAAATATTATGAGAGAGAACTAGCAAACTAGAGAAGTAAATAGATACATAGCCACCACGCATGAACTAACTTAATCAAGTCAAATTAGATGGTGTAAAATGCACACAATCGAATGACAATCACAATCGTAGAAAAAGCTTTCTCGTGATGAGATACACGATCGAGCAAAGATTGCGATTACAGTGAGATGTGTGATTGAACAAAGATCACATTCGCGACGATATGCACCATTGAGCAAAATCATGATGAACAAAGAAGAAATGTGAGTGTGACTAGAATGTGGTCCAAATTGAGAGGCTTGAACTCAAATCATTGAATGTTTAGGTACCACAACGATCGAACCAGAAGACTCAAAGCCAAACAAGATGAGTGTGTAACAACCAAGCTCGAGCGCAAAAAAAGTGAGGTCAACACTCATACAAAGGAAAGTAATTAATAGGCAACTATACAATGATAGGTTGTTGTCGGCCATATAAGCACACTAAAAAAAATCCCTTTAGAAGTAGAAATTTATCAGCCATATCATAAATTTATGTTTGTCGAACTTCTAAATGATTGTCAAATCATTTAAAAATTGAAGATTGCAAACAAGATAAGCTTTATAAGCTAAAATTTTATCATCCATTAAAACAATAAATCAAAATTAAAAATAATATAATTGTAAAAAAAATTGTGCTAAATGAGAAAGTTTTCCAAAAAAAATGAGGCAACTTACTAAACTTGGTTACCTTATCTTTCTCATCTTTTTCTAGTAGTGTATTCATCACAACCACCATTGGAGGCCAGACAATCTCATGATCAGGTGTTGTCTCACACAGACCCATCCATTTTCCAAATGCTTCACCAGCTGGAATGATTGATGTACCCCTTCTTCGTAGTTCCTCCTCCAAAAGTTCAGCAAGTTCCCTATGAAGCCTCATCCTCATTCTTCCTTTTGTCTTTGCATGTGTCATTAGAGGTTGAAGACCAGTGTACCAGTCAATAGCTCCCGGACCACCCTGGCAGGCAGGGCAGTGCCATTGTCTAGCTTGTTCATTTATTTGCTCCAAATTCAGATTATCCAAAGATTCAAAAAATGGCTTCAACCACTTATTCTTCTTACGTGTATCATGGCTCTTTTGACTATCATCAGAGTCAAAGCCATCACTAAAATCATCCTCACTATCATCTAGCAACTCATCATCATCTTCAATATCGTTATCAACATCTTGAGGAAGTTCATCCTGAGGATGCATATTGCAGTTTTTAACTGGAGTATTGGTTTGCAGGCCAGGCTTACCAGCTCTTGCAGACCACTGCCACCCATTTTGTAGTGGTGGATGAATGGCTGCGGATGGTACCTTGTAAGCAGTTCCCCAAGAGCCCCAACTGCTATCTAATTGTTGAGCCTTAGAGCTTTCTCCCCCAACTGATTCTTTGGAATTAATGACTTTAGGCCAACTGTCGTGAGATATTCTTCCTGCACCAGTATCGCCCAAACTTTGCATCTGTGTGCCTTGTGAAGGGCCCCAAGCTTTAGGAGCAACAGATGAAGCATTCATTCCTTTACCGCCAGTAACACCTAGTTGATTAATAGAATGATTCCAAGTCAAACCCCTATCAGCATCTTGATTAGGCTCTATTTCTAAATCTTTCATCTGATGGTTCAAACGAACAACATTCCCCCCTTCATAACTATATTCTTCATATTGGTTTACTTTTACTGATGATGTGCCACCAGCATCAGCTGCAGCATTGGTAGACTTGCTAAGAGCTTTTCTCGAATTCATTTAAGATAGCTATGAAAATTCCAACTGCAGCATTGTCAAGTCAAAAACGCAGGCCTCAAAAGTGTAACATAAATATCTCACACAAACAGGCGATCAAGTAAACAGAAAGTAACTTCATTGTCTCCACACAAAATAGTTGAATTTTTAAACATCAAAAACAAATTGAAAGAAAAAAAGAAGATTTTAAATGACCTCCCTTCAAACTAATGATAAAACTGATGCTTATTTGGGGTACAGAGGTGATATCAGACCAAATGATCAGCACAGTGGTAACTACGCTTAATATTCATGTATTTGCTTAGTTGAACATATACATCTATTTTGAAAACAATATATGGCCAGATTTCGATATGTTGGAATATCCAATAATTAGGGATGCTAGAAGAGTAGGTATCAGAATAAAACAAATAAAAATTGAAATACATGAAAGAGAGATGTTGTTAAGTATATTGAGAAATGTTACACTACAACAATAATAACAACAAGCCTTTATCCCACTGTGGGGTTGGCTACATGAATCCTTTTTTCTCCATTGTGTCCTGTTTAGAGTCAAATTCTCATCTAAATCTAAAAAAGAAAGATCATTTCTAATATTTTCTAACCAAGTCTTTTTTAAGTCTACTTCTACCTTTTTTAACATAAGTCAAATCTAATACATCTACTTTTCTAACCGGGTCATCGAAAGGCCACCGTTTTATGTGACCAAACCATCTAAGGCGACTCTCTCTAATCGTATCTTCTACTAAAGCTACTCCAACCTTTTCACGTATATGCTCATTTTGTATCATGTCTTTAAGAGTAAATCCACTCATCCACCTGAGCATCCTTACTGCAACACTTAACTTAATATTATGCTTCTCTTTTGATGGCCAACATTCTACACTATAAATCATTGCAGGTCTCACTACTATCTTATAGGATTTTCCCATAAGGTTGAGAGGAACTTTTCTATCACACAACAAGCCCGATGCATTCCTTCACTTCAACAATCCAACTTGAATTCTAGTAATAATATCCCCATCTATTTCACCATCACTCTAAACAATAGACCCATGATATCTAAAACGAGTGCTCTTATTAATGACCTGATCGCCCAAAGTCACAATCCTCCCACTAGATCTATTATTACTAAAATTATACTCCATATATTCAATTTTAGATCTACTCAAACGAAAGCATTTAGACTTTACGGTTGACCTCCGTAATTCAAGTTTACCTTCAACTCCCTCTCTAGTATTATCAACAAGAAGAATATCATCAGCAAAAAGCATACTGATGCGGACATCCAACCGTCCATGGCTATCCGAGGAGCTGAAGATCAACGGCTGTCATCGTCCCACATTATCTTATATTTTATTTGTAATTTTTTAAACTTTTATTATAAATTTTCCATTTTTACCCTCACTTAAGAGGGTCGTCCTATGTAAGCCTTACGGGCATATGTGTCTTGTTTTAGTTTCTTAGGCCTATATATAGAGGCCCTTTCTTGTGTAATGGGATGATGAATTATGGAATGAAAAAATGTTTATGCTTGTTTGATCTCTTAGTGAGTTCATGAGAGGAGAAGGATCTGTTTGTGAGTTCCGAGATTCCCAAGATCTCTTTGTGAGTTCTTGAGGAAGTGGCGCTTGTAGATCTCTTTGTGAGTTCTATTAAAGGTGTTGCTCGAGCCCCCATAAGTCCATCGTCGGCCACCCCAGGCCAATCACGTTTCATTTGGGTGAGTGTTTCTTTGATTGCATGCTTCCCATGGCTGAGCTTTTTATTAGGAACATGTTTAGATACATACGAGTTACCAACATGAGAATGCATTATTTTATATTTAGTTCCTTGATTTAATTGCTCATTTGATGGACGATTTATGAAAGGCAAGTAAATTTAAGACGAGTTATTTATTATCTTTACGAAACAATAGAACAAAGGGTAAGTAAAAGTTACTACCCCATTATTACTATTGCCTCACCCCAAATTGATTTGGGATTTAATTAATCTTGCCACCTAGGCAAGTAAATGGCATTTACGTTTCACATCACATACACCAGGGTACAACCTCTTGCAAATGTTTAGTGAGAACATCCATGACTAAAGCAAAAAGATTTGGGCTTAAGGCTAATTCTTGGTGTAATCCAACTGAAATAGGAAAATACTTGGTCAATCCACCTTGTGTTTGAACACAAGGAACAACTCCTACATACATATCCTTGTGTTTGAACACAAGTTGATAAACAACAATTTTAAAAAAAAAATCAAAATCGAATGTTATTAAAGATAATGAATTAAATCAATTTGACCCAACTTGTCTACATCATGCTAAACTTTTATCATTAGTTCCGGAACAAGCTTGGATGAGTCTAAGAGAGTCTGTACCTAGAGTTCATTTGACTAATTAATGCCAAATTTTGATAGAATTATTAAAGGCGAGGTAGGTCTGCTTACAAATTTAATTAATGGGTAGCCTAGTCTAGGAAATCACAAAATGAAGTCCATCTATCAAGCAAGTCCATCTTTCACTCATCTTACTCTTAATATTAGCCTATCGACATCCATGATGGGATTGCTCCTTTTTACTGATTCACTTCAAACCCCTACATGCTTTTCAACCAACTCAAGGATTAAAAAAACTAGCTTGGCTTAGCATACCTAATTTGTTTAGCCTAAAATCATTAGTTGAAAATGTCATTTCATTTTAGTAAGGTAAGATCTCATGGGATTTTGTAGAAATAGAGTAGTAGCAATTAGTGCAATAATTTTTTTTTAAACAATGAGTGAAAGAAGCCAAAAGGCCAAAAAGACAAAAACAACATATATACAACCTAACAAGCCATCTTTATATTAAACTTACTTTTGTTCTTAATTTACTCAATGTTGTGAAGTAAATGAGTAGAGAACATGCCCCAAACAAAAACCTTTTCAATTCACATATCCATCTATCCCAAACAAATAATGAAAGTAAAGAAAAGCCTCAGTCAAGCCCAACATGCCCACTGATTTGGCATATGAGAAGCAACCACATGGCTAGTTTTAGGAAAATTATATCTATGAAAACAATAAAAATCTATCTTAAATTTAGTACACACTACACATATCAACATCAGTGTATACTGTGGATCCATACAAGTATTTCTAATCCTCTTCGTCAACTATTGAAGAATCATTTAATAAAAGCAATAATGTACAGTCATAGCATATTAATTAAAAAGGGTATTAACATAAATACCACCAAATTACTATGTATTTATAGATCTAACACTAAATCTTTAAAAAAATTCTTATAACAACCTGGTAGATCAAACTAAATATTGGTTAAAACAAGATAAAACCTGTACGTCTTCAAGTGCTTATGACCAGATGAGATGAGCCATTAAAATAGGATAGAAGAAGTATGATAAATCAATTTCAACATACCAAAAACTTTACACATTCGACCTTGACGGCCATATATCTATAATCCATCCATTTCTACCGCCATAATGCCTATATATGCAACGATGTGGCACAAAATCAAAAAGAAAAATGTGGGATGGCATCAAATGGGGAACATACCCTTAATTAAAGAATTTTTTTACCAACAAATAATGGTATAGCTATGAACTCATATGTATATCACCTCGGTTTTTAGCATTACTGAATCAAATAAAACAATCCGCATGGTAACAAAGACTACGAGAAAAATTCTTGATTGCATCTAATCAGGCAACAACAGTAGGAGGAAATGAGAGAGCCAACCAGAGGAAATGAGAGAGCCAACCAGAAGACAGAATACGGAGAGCTATGCAGTTCCGGCGACGCTGCGATATGGCATCCCAAAACTTCACGTGATGCGACTGCTTCTGCAGGACAGAGTGAGGAAGCGGAAAGGGTCATTTAAAAAGCAATTGTAACTGCAGAAAGGGTCATTCAAAAAGCGCAAAATACGGAGTTTGATGCGGATTTTGGAAAATATTTAAATCCAGCCTAAGGCTTGTAATTAATGCTAAAATAAATATGTGTCAAAAATATATACACAGGGGAAAATAATTTTGCATGTCTCATAGAAGCAAACATATATTCAATATTTATTATAAAACAAATTCTTATTTATATTTTAAGCAAATGTATGAAAAGTTTACTTCATATCGAAATATTCTTTTTTAATCATAGTTGGAATGACATATTTAAACAACATTTAAATCATATTCGACAGAGGTTCAATTCATATTCTAGGAGGCTTGAATCATATTCGAGTGTGGATAGAGCTATGTTCAAATCTCATTTGAAAACAATTTAAAAAGAGGTTGGAAAGTTATGTTGCAATTGGGGAGCCCAAGTTTACGTTTTGATTTGATGATAACAAATATTATTGAATTGTATTTATTTAGCTTCTTATAAATTTTATTATTGCATATATTTTCTATGTGTGCTAATATATGAGGTTCAGCATACACCAAAAATAAGTAAATAATCAAGGCTGAAGTTTGGATAGTATATGTTTGATCTATGCAAGAATCTATAATTTTATCTTGAGTCAATGTATTGTAAAAGATGTATGCTAGCTTACCAATCATACACATACGGGGGAGTAAAATTGAATATTTTTATTTTTCTAAAGGTAGTACTTGATATGGATCGTACTGTACGATCTATGTAATCAAAAATTAATTAAAATATTTAATTAATTGAGAAATAAATTGAAATATATTATAACTAATTGTACTATACGACCTAATCGTACATGACGATTATATATTATAAAAAACCCCACCGTTCATTAAATTAAACAAAATTTTGAATTTTAAATTTTGTTCTATTCGCATTATACAAACCTTTTTTTAAATTAATTAATTTATTTTTTTTTATTATACAAACCTAATCGTAATGTACGATGTTTAAAATATTAATTAATTTAATCATATGATTAATCAATCGAATATGTTTAATTATGATTTTTAATACTACTATATGAACTGAATTATACTAGACGATCGACAGAGATGATTTTGCCCGTCCCAAGGTTTATGCTGTGTGAAACAATTAGATTGAACTATTCGTATTGTACAACTATTCTTTTATAACGTATGATATGAACTTATCATATTGTACCGATTGTTAATCGTACAGTATTAAAAGGTAGAATTGAATTGATCGTACTACATTAATTGAAAACCGTATAATTGAACAATGCAAATTCGACCAGATCGTACTATACTAAATGGTGATCGTTAGAGCTAACATGTTAAATTCAGTGGATTGTACTATACAATAATAAGATCATATTATACGAACAATGACTATTGAATTGAATATTTAGGGTTTTCTTGAGCCCTATATTTAAACTTTCTCATTAAACTATTTAGGAGACTTTTTGGCATTCCTTGGGTTGAGTCTCCTTAAAGAAAGCTTGAAGAGAGACCTTTGAGCTTGGGAGTGAAAGGGTGAAGCATGTGAGAGAGGAAAAACAATCTTATGGGTTTAAGGGAGTGTGAGAGGGGGTTTCACACCGTTGCTCAGGCGAACTTGCACCTGAGTTCCTCCATGTGTCAAGGATCATCTTGAGGGAAGTTTGTGAAGAAGACCCCCTTTGGAGTTAAAGGTCCTGGTTACTCCACCGCATAGAGGAAGGTGGAAGTGATGTGGTTCTTTGCCTCACCAGGAGGGAAAAAATGATTCAAGGTTCTCTGCCTCACTAAGAGGTTGAAAAGGATTTTGCTTCTCCATCGCACTAAGGAGGTGAAAGGGATTCGACTTCTTTGCCACACCTAGGACGTGGAAGAGATTTATAAAGGCCTCTCCTCGTTGTGAGAGCAAAAAGAGAGTCTCTAAGTTTTAGTACAAATCTTGGAGTGGAGGACTCCTGGAGTAGATGTAGGTTAAGGTAGACCGAACCATTATAAAAATTTCATGTGTTCTTTCTTGGTTTGAGCTTTTACTTTTTTGCACTTTATTTCTTGTAATTTAGTTATTGCAAAAATCTGTGATTTGTGAACTTGACTTTGCATTAGACTTATCTCTTGGTTTTGCTCAAAAAGAAAAAAAATAGAAATAAAAATTTACAAAAAAAAAATCTTTGTAAGTTTTCCTTTCTATAAAAAAAAAATCTTTTTATATGATCGATGTCAAAAATGATAATTTTTAAAGGGGATTTTGAAATACCAATTCACCCCTATCTTGGTGTGCATTTGTGGTTCAAGTAGGCCTAATAACCCACATTTGAACTTTCAAGCTATTAAAAATATTTGAACATGGTTCAAGCAAAATTTAAGCATGACTCAAATATGATTCAATTATAATTTGAATATGATTCAACTTGGTTTACACATGATTTACCTATGATGTAAACAGGAGAAGCATTTCAACGTCATTAATACAACATACGACAAAGTTAATATTATAGAGTATTTGTAATAATAAAAATTTATAATATAACATAATACAAGATGAATAAAATAAAGCATATTCTAACACATACAATAAAGCAAAGAGCTATCATAGTTGTTATGATTAGCAAATGTTAACATAGATACAACTTAGTGTAAACCAATAGTTATAACATAGTTTAATCCAACAGCTATATCATAATAGAGGATGAATTAATTGTTATATCATATTAAAGAGAAATCACAATAGATATAACATAATATATCGAATCCATCAATCAAAGAATAGATGTTTACGATAGAATGCTATAAAAAATGAATTGGAAGAATAATTTTACAAAAATATTCAATCATATTTGAATAGACCTGTATATTTATATTATTGCAAAAATACACTTGCTTGCACTTTTTCTGTAGAGTTGTGTCGATGAAATGAAACTTCAAGATGATTTTTCTTTGTATTGTAGTAGATATTTGTTGCATGATATATAATATATAGCCACTACTACAAAATGCAACATAATACACTCGCTAGACTATTCATGAGATTATTTTGTATATACAATAGCAATGATTTGGGCATATGTGTCTTCTACCTCCTAATCCATTTCTTTATCTTTTTGCACCTCATCAATGATCTTAAGTGAGTGAATGGTTGAGCTAGAAGCATGCACCTCCTCACTCTCCTCATTCCTCTCTTTCTTTTACCTATATTGAGGTCACTAGCCTTAAATTGCACAACAATCTTCTCCATCAAACTCTTAGCTCTATATGTGACATAAGCAGTATAATGCATCTATATATATAATATTAGAGTAAACATCTATAATGTTAATCCTAATAGAGATAGTAAGGGCCGAATAAAACAATTTGAACTATTTTCAAACAATGATTGAATAATGTTTGAACATTACTCAAATCATAATCAAACCTTATTTCAACAATGTTTGAATCTTATTATACTATGTTTGAACCTTGATAGAAATTATTTAAATCTTATTATAATCATGTTTAAACCTTATTAAAAATTTGATTAAACCTTGTTCAAATCTTATTCTAACCACTTTTAAACCTTCAGCGAAATTAAATAATGTTTAAATCCTCTTTAAATATGGCACTAATCTTACGTTAACCATATTTGAAATCATCTTCAAACATTTTTCAAACCTTATTCCAACCATATTCAAAACTTATTAAGCTTTATTTGAACCACCATTAAGCTTTATTAGAACCTTACTCAAACCAACTTTGAATCTTATTCGAAGTTTTTTCAAATATTGTGTGAACCTTTTTAATAGTACAAATAAGTTTTAAAAAAGTTTGATCAAGGTTTGAAGATGATTTGAATAATTTTTTTGCATGAAATAGGATGCATAATGTCATTCTGAGTTGAGGGTATGCATTGCAAGCAACATTTTCAAACCTAAATAACTAAGCATATATCACATCTAACCTTGAAAAATTAGTCAAAGATGGAGATAAAGACTTCACCTCAAATTTTACCATAGAACAATCACATGTGAATGACAATCATCCAATGTGGTGAATACTATTGAAAGAGGAAGAGTAGTAGATTATTATTCAAAAGCTTGCATAACTTCCTGCATCAAGGTTTCAAATTTTAATACTATTATGTAGGAATAATTTAATCTTAAACTAACTTTCTCGTACAATTCTTACATAAACTAAGAAGCCATCATATTTGGTCATTTTTAGGTATTACGAGATATATAAAGTTAATTTTTTCTCAAATAATTGGTTTACTCGATGACCAGTTCAATTCTCTTTTTGCTTGTCTATTTATAAAATTGAATACATGTCAACTAAATAACAATTTAAAAAATAGACTCATTTGTTCATTTACATTCAAGAACATTAGTCAAGGTCTAAAAACTTATGATGATTTGTATATATACATAAGACTGTGAATTATACAAATAATAAAGTGATGAATATTCATCCCACATCATTGAATACAAATTAATGAAATCAAGTTAATTTTGACTCTAATTGAACAACCAAGATAAAGAAGCAATTTTCATAGTAAAAAATCTAAGCTAATAAAATAAAACAAAAAACATGTTGGGATATAAATTAGGCAAACTAGATACAAGGATAAGATTCACCAATATTTCTCTTATTGATTTAGCTATAACACAATCAAGAGCTAAATAAAAATTTGTCCTAATCAGATCCACAGTGGATAATAGCTTTCTCTCAAAAGCCTAGGGTCATTAATCTTTTTACATAATCTCCCTATGTCTTGATAACAGATTGAACGAAAAGTAGATTTCAATTATATGTAAAGGAGATCTATTAGATTTCATATATTTAATATAGATATCCCTATCATATGATATGGTGTAATCATCACACATCACAAGTTTTCTCTCCATCTCTTGGTTTCAAACAAACCTCCTAATCTTCTAATTAGTGGCCAAATAATTATAAGTTATTCCTTACAAGATGAAATCACAATAATATAAGGCACAAAGGCTCAGATGTTTACATTCA